AGACGAGCGACTTGTAAAACTCAACTTGGTTTCAATGTTGCAATCCGACTATTATTGGCCGTTTATCATTACAATACGAATCCGCAACATGCTTCGTCAGATTACAGAAATAAAGTTATCAGCAACATGCTTCGTCAAAAAGTACAATACTTACTTTCAGCTGCAAGCGTCGTCATCAATACGAATTGACTGGTGCAATAGGTTTTGTTCTAACTCGATAGTAAACTGTTGCAGAAATTAGAATGTTTCGTGAATATTTTAAAGTTTACTTGCAATTTTTACAGTATTTGTTTTATCCGAGAAGTCGGAATAGCCATTTAGGCTACCAGCTAATAGGTAGAGAAGAAAATACTTTGTTTTTTAGACAAAGCTTTGTTTTCGGAACTTGTGTGTAAGGTATTATGTTCCTTCGTAGCCCTAGAATTACGTCTATTTTACTATATATAGATATACCTTAAGACATATACACACAGCCGCATTAAACGTAAGAACAGCGCGTTATCTTTTAACACGCTATTATTAAAATACCTTGTATTCTATTTCATCATCATAATCGGTTACTCTTGGCAGAGCAGTCGTGGTCATGTGGAATCTTTGTTTATTAAGAGTTGACAGCTTTTTTTTTATGATTGAAAGATATTACTGGTGGCCCGGAGGCCTTTTCAGTTTCACCGTGGGTGAACAAAGGCTCAGCCAGGAGGGGTGCGATTTGCTAAAAGCTGCCCGAGCGCCTCCGAAGGAGACCTAGCAATTCGAGAGCAATAATTGAAGCAAGAATTGCTTCGCGAATAATTCTACTTTTTTTTTTTTTTTTTTTTTTTTTTTTTTTTTTTNACTGGTGGCCCGAAGGCCTTTCCAGTTTCACCAGGACAGGTGGGCGAGCAAAGGCTCAGCCAAGAGGGGTGGGATTTGCTAACAACTGCCCGAGCGCCTCCGAAGGAGACCTAACAACTCAAGAGCAATTGTTTCGCGAATGAATCTACTACCGGATCGGAATCGCGACCCGCTGAGAAGATCCGGCGAGAAACTCAGCGGGCTGATGCATGGGTTACGTTGCACGTCGACCTCTTTGTCGAGTTCGACGAGTACGGTTACCGGGGTCCCTAAGCCTGCCCCTAGTATTAGAGCTGAAGGCATCTAATGCAAAGGTTATTGGATCTGATGGATCCGTAAGGACGTGTGTAATTCTACTACCGGATCGGAATCGCGACCCGCTGAGAAGATCCGGCGAGAAACTCAGCGGACAAGCCTTGACAGATGCTCTCCATAGTTCGCGAACTGAGGCTTGGCGCACGCAACGACAAGGGGTTTTTTTTCCTATTTAACGAACGTAATTTTCACAAAATCTAAAACGTTCTACTTACTGGAAAATTCGAACACGCCCTGTTAATAATACAATAATCTTATTACTCAACTTCCTCAAGACAATTACCTGAATAAGAGACTAATAGTTAAAGTTCCACAAGGCCTCTGTATACCTTAACACAAGTGCGATTCTAGTTTTGTGACTTCGTTGCGTTTTATTTACGTTCACTCGTCAGCTGTGTGCTTAGTGCTTACTCAAATTTGTATGGAGTTGGAATAGCGCCCATAGCGACAAACGTAGGCAAGCGTTCCAACTCCATACAAATTTGAGTTAACTTTTACGCTATCGAGAACGTTAAAAAACTCGCACTAAGCACACTAGCGTTATGCTAATGACAATATGGAAATAGTTAAATTTGTTCTAAGCACGCTTCACGTGTCGCAGAGTTAGTTCACTCACAAATTTCACTTTCCGCGCGCACCCAATGTTTTCACTTTCGTTGAAGCTCTCATTTCTTCAATGAGTCGAGTGTGTTACGTTGCGAATGCGTTACGTTGTGGTACTGTTACGGGTGAAACGAAAGTGATCGTAGTTCACTTGTTTTTACTAATTAACGCTTATGAATGAGCTAGTTGTGATTGAATCACTATGGATCCGGCGCGCATCTGACACTTGCCGGACGCGTGTTGCACTTGACCTCGCAAACGGCCGGAAACTTGACAGCCATTGTTTTACTGGTGGTAGGAACTCTTGTGAGTCCGCACGGGTAGGTACCACCACCTTGCCTATTTCTGTCGTGAAGCAGTAATGCGTTTCGGCTTGAAGGGTGGGGCAGCCGTTGTAACTATACTTGAGACTTTTTTTTTATTGCCTTTGTAGGCAGACGAGCGCACGGCCCACCTGATGGTAAGTGGTTACCGTCGCCCATGGACTTCAGCAATGCCAGGAGCAGAGCCAAGCCGCTGCCTACCGAGACTTTAGAACTTATCTCAAGGTGGGCGGCTGCATTTACGTTGTAGATGTCTATGGGCTCCAGTAACCACTTAACACCAGGTGGGCTGTGAGCTCGTCCACCCATCTAAGCAATAAAAAAAAGCCTCTTCCGATGCTATTGTCTTTTTTTTGCCCTTGTAAGAAGACAAGCATACGGCCCACCTGACGGTTAGTGGTTACCGTCGCCCATGGACTTCAGCAATGCCAGGGGCAGAGCCAAGCCGCTGTCTACAAATATTCAGAAATAGAGGTACTTACCAACATCGCGCATGCATACAACATACACGATAATCGTGTATTAAAGATACTCCATTAAAAGACCAAAAATTACTTATTAAAAGATACTCCATTATAAGATACACGAAACGTGACCAATCCAAAGCGAATCTAGTTTTTTTTTGTTTGTTTTAACAAAGACATTGACACGGTCACTAACTACTAGAGGCAATGAAAATGCATTTGCTAGAAAGCCCCCAACCCTGACCTCTAGCACAAGAGCCATGCACGATTCCGTTGGGCCACGGCATTATTATAAACGAAAATGAATTCTAAAATATTTCACGTTAATTAACAAGTGAATATTTCGTGAGAATGTTCACAATTAAAACCTAGGTTGCTTGAGCTTTCAAAATTAAATAGACAAGGTCTTTTTATTATTATGATCTAACTGTAATCTCAAGCTAACAATAATAAAAAAACTACTTCTACTTAATGTTACTAATGTTTATTATTTATAATAATATTATTCTCTCTCTCTCTCTCTCTCATAATATCTCTTAATATTATTTCTAATGTTTCGAATAATTTACAGTTTTCGTCGTCACGGACAACTAACCTAACAAATTATTATGTATAATGATTAGTGGTGGTATTCCTATGGATTTATATCCACTGCGCCTCTGTCCAGTATAGTTGAACCCGAATTCGAGGGAGTTCACGACCAACTATGGTCCATGATTTATTAGTCTAATATTTTATTTGTAACGAAATGTCACTGGCACTGACTTAGAGGTATACTCGACATAACACTATTATGCCGAAGTTCAATGTATCAATACTGGGTATGAACGCTACTAAATAGTTACATACTTAGTATTCATTCACGAACAAGTTCCGGGATTAAAGAACGGAAAAAACTACAGCATGCTGTGTGCCCACGTAATCAGTACTACTGCCGTAACTGTTTATGCCGCCAAATTTTCCTTTTGCAGTAGATGCATAAGGTTCAAGTTCTATCTGTGCAGAAATAGATGCCGTAACAAAGTCTGAATCTCGCCACGCCCCTGGGTGTATCCGAACCCTACAAGTGGATTACTTGACTTCTTCTCGGCACTTGTACGACCTACCCGTGCGAACCCATAAGCTACCACCACAAAAATAGTTTTAACTATGAATAAATACTCTGTTATCTAACTTGAGATTTATCCTTCTGTCCATCGTTCGCATCTATGCTTTTTCAGTTCACTTTAAAGCTTACGATTTAAATCAGTGCTTTTTTTTTAAATTTATATGCATTTTACTAAGCTAAGGCTACAAAAAATATTAGAAGAATGCATTCAACAAATGGAATCACGTAAAAGGCTCTCTATAAGAGATCTATGAAGCCCAGCTATAAGCCGTATAATAATAATTTAATAATAAATACTAGTTTGTAATGGACAATAAGGTCGATCACTATGCTTTAATATGGCTAGCTTGAGGCGTGGGACTTAAATCTCTAAGTACATTGTAAATTGATATAACTTTATTGTTTTATGTAAATACTCTTTTTAGCTTTAGTCTAGATCTAAACATATAAGGTTAATGACCCGTAGTAACAGTCCTATATTAGTGCGCAAGAAGTCTAGACCTAGGCATTATACGTATTGCCAAACGCTGTCTATTCTAGACACGAACTCAGATCTTTCCATGAAATTGTTCTGAAATTTCGTAACATTTTTTGCGTATATAAACAAGTCTAGAATATCTATACGGTGTTTTTGTTAATTTTTTTGTTTCTAAAAATGAATATATTTTCATTTGTATAGATTCCTTTGTATATTTATATAGAATTTTTTACTGACGTTTTTTTTTTAAATCTCAGTATTAGAATTTATGTGTAATTTTTTATTTAATTTAAATTAATTAATAAAAAAAAGAAAAGTAAGTGCCTAAATTTAATTTAGAAATCTAAATCGATCCTAGAGATTAAAATTCTACAAATTATTAATGTATTTCTTATTAATGAATATGAATATTAAATTAAAATACAGAAAGTTTTGTGATAAATTAAAAAAAATACTCGTAAACATTTATTTATAGGCAATAAAAGGATATTTATTGTTTATGTAATTAAAGTATCTGTACATTTCTGAGTTTTCTGTTCACAGAAAACTGCTTTAAGTACTTAGGTATCAGGCTACGTACACATTAATTAATTAAAAAAAAGAAGCTTACTTTAATAATATTAGTCAATTTAGGACTCATTAAAATGGTTAGATAAAAGCATTTTTAAAGGAAAAAAAAACTATTATTATTGCGGAGAACTTGAAAAGTCATGTTAAATTCACAAATACCACGTAATGACAAAAAAAACACAATTAATATCACTAAATTAAATTTACTAGACACGATTTAAAAAAAAGAAGCACGTTACGTACAGTCACGTCACTTTTCAATTTCCCGCCAAAATTAAATTTGACATATATTTTTTGACACTTACGTAAAATTTAGCAGCCATATTTTTGTTGTTTTTTTTTCACTTGTCACTCGCGGGTCGGGCGCATGCGAACAGGGCTTGCGCGGAGAATGTACGCCGCGGGGCACACACTACTATTTAAACTCCCCCCCATACTTGTTATTATATTAATTATAAAGTTTTCACTGCGTTTTGAGCGTGAATTGATCTGGATTTAATATTTCCGGAACATAGAACAACATCCCAATTCCGGAATTTAAAAATGATAGTCAAGAGCTTAAGAATCCCAATAGTTTTGTCATTATCGTAGTCTATAGTCTGAAATAAAAGATTTTATTTGAAATCTATGTCAATAACAATATATGCAATGTTTTTGTGTTCGTTATTATTTTAAAAAGTAAATGTTTGTGAACTACATTCTTATTGTATAACTTTCCACTTAAACTAAGAATGTATGTATGTGTATGTTTTGATCCCTCTCTTCGATTAACACGATTTGGATCTTTGGGACAAAATAACTTTAAAATATCCACAGATAAGTCCAGTTAGGGTCTTATCGAAATACACGAGCCTCCGTGGGCGATCGGTGGCCTAAAAAAATGTCTCAGGAAACGCATAGTAGCTCGAGATACTGGAAACGAATTGTGCTGTGATGCGTTTGATGTAGGTAGTGTACGTAATTTCCTATGAAAATGCGGTAAAAGACGACAGTCAAGATTCGATATTCGTAAGTAATTAAAAAAAAAACTGTTACGTTAAAAACTTTTAGCGCATTCTGTAAAGAAAAAAAAACTATTTCCGACAATATCATATCGGGTTGCAATGCAAAAAAAAATACATTCAGCAACACATTTCTTCTGATAATACGAATATTTGAAGACATTAATGATTATGACTGTTTTCTTATCGAAACACGCTACAGTAATTTTCCCATAATTCGTACCTTACTCTAATCAAAGTATACACAAATGTGTACGTCGATTTCTCTCAAGGACAAACTGTTATTCACACTACTTTCTCCTAAGAAAGTCCTTTAGAGACATCACAAAATTCATTCATAGTTTCTTTGGTCTTTCGCTAATCCGTAGACCTACGCGCAACATCGCACCAATACGTCGCCCTCTCTTTAGGCTACCAGCAAATCGATAAAAAGAGAAACACTAAATCTGTCACACATTAAAAAGTAAGGTTTAAAAAAAGCTGTACTTAAAAAGTACTAGTACTAGTACTTAAAAAACTATAATTTTTAGTAGATTAAAATAGCTAAAAATTTTAACACTTGTTAATAAGGCAACCTCAAAAAATTTCGATGCGGTAAGGCGACATTGAATATAATTAAAATAGATATCTCATCTAATTTTTTGTAAGTACATTTTTATATTAAGCAATATATTTATTCAGATATAAAATATTGTCTACTAAGGTTACATTTTTGAAATCTGTATGTCCTATTTTAATAGTTTCAAATTTCAATAAAATAATACTATTCTTTATTTTTTAGAGGTTCATCAAATACAAGTCAGGTAACTTAAATACACACTCAAACACACACGCAAACACACCTACGGGGGCACAATGACATATTATTTAACAGGTACTACCTTTTTTTTTTTTTTTAACGCTGGGGAATCCATTTACGGATACCCGGTCGAGGGGGGTAACGGACCGGGTTATGTCGGACTCCGGCGCCTCCTGAGAGGAAGAAGGGGAGAAGAGAAGGGTCGAGGTCCTTCACCTCCCCCAATTTCTCACAGGAGACTACGCCTTGAAAAAGGCGCGCGAAGCACTTGCCCCGCAGAACGACTACCGACTAAACCCCATCGAGCCCCACCACTCCGACTCCACGAAACCCACGGTACTAAACAGGTACTACCTACTTAAAGGTATTTTTTTTGTTTTGTTTTTTTTGCCGTATAGCCAGACGAGCATACGGCCCACCTGATGGTGAGTGGTTACTAAATTGTACTGCTGCTAATCTCAGCAGTCAATTACCTCAAGTCGTCGTGGCCTAACGGATAAGACGTCCGGTGCATTCGTGTTGAGCGATGCACCGGTGTCCGAATCTCAGGCGGTTACCAATTTTTCTAATGAAATACGTACTCTACAAATGTTCACGATTGACTTTCACGGTGAAGAAATAACATCATGTAATAAATATTCAACATGCAAAATTATAATTTTCGCAATTACTGGTGGTAGGACCTCTTGTGAGTCCGCGCGGTTGGGTACCACAGCCCACCTGGTGTTGAGTGGTTACTGGAGCCCATAAACATCTACAACGTAAATGCCGCCACCCACCTTGAGATATGAGTTCTAAGGTCTCAGTATAGTTACAACGGCCGCTCCACCCTTCAAACCGAAACGGATTACTGCTTCACGGCAGAAATAGGCATACGCTGTAATCCCTGTTAAAACAAAATATTTGTTATTAAATTAAAATTAGTCAAATAAAGCCGGAATCATGTGGCCTTGCCTTGTCAACACACGACACCGCTCCGGCACGAGGTATCACTGCAATATCTAGCTAAAATTAATTAGGGATGCTGACTCACTTCACTATTTATTTTTCTAGTTTTATTTTTCCCACATGTTTTTATTTTTTATTGCAAAGGTGGGTGAACGAGCTCACAGTTAAGTGGTTACCGTAGCCCATAGACATCCACAACGTAAACGCCGCCACCCACCTTGAGATATGAGTTCTAAGTCCTCAGCATAGTTACAACGGCTGCCCCACCTTTCAAACCGAAACGCATTACCGCTTCACGGCAGAAATAGGCAGGGTTAGAATAAGTTTGGGTATCACAGTCGCCGACTCGAAGCAGCCCCGGCTGTGCCGCCGAGAGATTGAGTGGTATCCCCGCAAGAAGTTGCAATAGCCCCTTAAGCTACCAGTGAATATGTTGGAAAAAAAACAAAGGAAAAAAAAAGTGGTATCTGCCTACGCGATTTGAACCCATAGTCGCATCGTTTGATGTTCCAGTACAACGGACGACCTCTCTACGATTCTGTAGATAAGCTGTTCAGAGCTTTTATGGTTTACTGTCGGATAGCTTTTTTACTTCTTGTCACAGATACACCCACCAATTTAGAGCACAAAAAAATTTATTCACGAATGTAGTTATTGTCATTGTTATTGTATGCAAGTCGCGCAAAGAGCGATGGAATGGCCTATGTTAGGCGTTTCTCTACGGGATAAAATGCGCAATACCGAAATCCGCAGAAGAACTGGTTTGGCTGACATAGCCAAAGTGATTGCTCGGAAAAAGTGGAAGTGGGCCGGCCACATATGCCGTCGCACTGACAATCGGTGGGGCACAAAAGTACTGGAGTGGAGACCTCGTACTGGACGTCGTAACGTGGGCAGACAGCCAACGAGGTGGACCGATGACCTGGTCAAAGTAGTTGGTAGAGACTGGATGAGAAAGGCCAGAGACCGAAGTGAATGGCGTGCATTCGAGGAGACCTACACTCAGCATTTGGTGAACACGGGTTGAAGAAGAGTAGTTATTGTAGGTGGTAGTGCATGCGGTAGAGATGCGAATGTTGAGATGGGTGTGTGGAGTGACAAGAATGGACAATATAAGGAATGAGTATATCAGAGGAAGTGTCAAAGTAGCCCCGGTAATTAACAAATTAAAGAGCGGACGGTTAGCGTGGTATGGACATGTGATGCGTAAAGAGAAGATGCATGTGACTAGGAGATTTATGGAAATGGTAGTGCAAGGTAGAGGGGGAAGAGGTCGACCAAAGAAGACATGGATGGAGCGTGTGAATGACGATATGAGAGAAAGAGGAGTGAGTGAGTGTTGAGATGACGGCTGAAAGAAGAGAATGGTAGAGAAAAAGCTGTGCTGACCCCACCTAGTGCGATAAGGTTGAGAAAAAGAAGAAGAGTTATTGTATGTATTTCATTCCCAGCATTTCCATTTTCATAACTGTCGTAACAATTCAGAACACTACAGCGTTAACCTCCTTTGTTATATTAATCTATATCTGAATACAAATTTTTAACGTTAATATAATTATTATTGATTTATGGTTAGTGACATTTTGAAGGCCACCCAACAGATACGTTACAGGTAAACTCACATGTAAATATCGTGAGAATATTTTTAATGTAGTTCTTGCTAAGATTTTCAACAGTTGTTGATTAAAATTATGTTTAGCATTACATTTAAATGATCTAAAAATTTTACGCTTTAACTGGTTCCCATGTAGTTATGTGTGTATATATGTATGTGTGTAAATTGCAACTTCAGAATTAAAGTGGCTTAACAAAAAAATTTAAGAAAATGATTTTTATACTTTGAACTACTTATTTATTTAACAATATTTTTAAATTAAAAATGTCTTTATTTAGAAAAGGATAGAGTACCTACACTTTCGGCCTCTATAAAATCTTTAGTAAATTTAAGGATTAAAGTGTTAAAATCAAAACTGAAAAATTACTATTCTTCAATTACGTTTTTTTTGGCGTTTACCAAAAAAAAACAAGAATTTTGGATTAAGCGACTTCGATTCTAAAGATTCGATATATTATAAATATCTCTGTGATCATTCTTAAAATAATTTTTCCGTAAACAAATGATATTTACAAAAAAACTATACAAGAAACCGCTTAGAGTCTTAAAAAAAAATATTGCCCATTTTTTTGTTTAGACGGGTAGACAAGTTGAAGGTCCATCCGGTGTTGAGTGGTTGCGGGAGCCCATAGACAACGCCACATTTGAGACATGACATATAAGTCTCACTTCTCGTTTTTTTTTCGACCAGGCCGCGATTTAGTATTGTAGGATCCTAGCATGTTAGCCGTTGGGCCAGGCGGGTTCCTATTCTATAGTAGAAAGGCTTCGTCAAATCTGCATCAATCGACTGCATCAAGCACTTCGCTATAAAGATAAACGCGCGGGCTCACAATGCATACCACCATTGTCCTTCTAGTCTCGACTTTTACTAGACCACACTTTTTTTTTCTCCTACTTATGCTGATAGCCTTGAGGGGCTATTTCAGCTTCACCCTAACATGTAGGTGAGCTCACGGGGCTCAAACCGGAAGGTTTGCTAACACTGGCCCTAGCAAGGGCAGTGCTTCGCAGAATCTACCGCCGG